ATTGGTCTTTTGGTCCTTGAAAAAATATTCTTTAAAAAATCCAAATTTATTGGTCTTTTGGTCCTTGAAAACATATTCTTTAAAAAATCCAAGTTTATTGGTCTTTTGGTCCATGAAAAAATATTCTTTAAAAATCCACGTTTATTTTCCTTTTGGTCCTTGAAAAAATATTCTTTAAAAATCCTCGTTTATTTTCCTTTTAGTCCTTGAAAAAATATTCTTTAAAAATCCACGTTTTTTTAAAAAATCCACGTTTATTGGTCCATGAAAATCCACGTCTTTAAAAATCCACGTTTCTTTAAAAAATCCACGTTTATTGGTCCTTGAAAAAACAGTCTTTAAAAATCCACGTTTCTTTAAAAAATCCACGTTTATTGGTCCTTGAAAAAATATTCTTTTAAAAAATCCACGTTTATCCACGTTATGGTCCTTGAAAAATAGTCTTTAAAAAATTCACGTTTATTGGTCCTTGAAAAAATATTCTTTTAAAAAATCCACGTTTATTGGTCTTTTGGTCCTTGAAAAAATATTCTTTAAAAAATCCAAATTTATTGGTCTTTTGATACTTGAAAAAATATTGTTTACAAAATCCACGTTTATTGGTCTTGTGGTTCTTGAAAAAATATTCTTTTAAAAAATCCACGTTTATTGGTAATATGGTCCTTGAAAAAATATTCTTTAAAAATCCACGTTTATTGGTCTTTTGGTCCTTGAAAAAATATTCTTTTAAAAAATCCACGTTTACTGGTCTTTTGGTCCTTGAAAAAATATTCTTTAAAAATCCACGTTTATTGGTCTTTTGGTCCTTGAAAAAATATTCTTTAAAAATCCACGTTTATTGGTCTTTTGGTCCTTGAAAAAATATTCTTTAAAAATCCACGTTTATTGGTCCTTAAAAAATATTTCTGAAAAATCCACGTTATGTTGGTCCATATTAGACCAACAGTCACTATAATCATCAGCATGAATTTGTGATATCTCGTTAATGATATTTATTTCCAAGTTCAAATTCGAAAATAATGTCCTTTTCATGGAAGGTATTAACGTTCTTCCCTTTCCCCTTTCGGCAATCAACACCAATCCACACCAAATGAAACCCAATTATTTTTAGGGAGTGTGACATTAATATTTATTTAATATTCTTATACAAAGACAGGAAGACAGACATACCTGACCATAGGCAACAACCATACACCTCCTTCCCCCACCAGAAGACAATTAATTAATCCTTGATGATGTTTAGGATAATACAATGCCACAACCGAACAAGGACACCACCACTCGCATACCTTTTTCAAATAATATTAATTAATTTGGTTTGGTGATTTGATTGTTAACGGCAGCTTTGGCCAAATGAATTATAAATTATTTTTCGTTTATGTGTTGTGGAGGTTGGGAGGGGTGTGGGAGAGGAGGCTCGTTGATAGGCTTTCCCATAAGCAGTAAATCCCCCACAATTAATGAAATAACAGGTTAGAGGATTATGTGAAAATTATGGAGAATTTGAGGATATTATTATTATTGTGGTTGTTATCATTTCACAGATAATAATTATGAAATTGAGTTTGAAAATGAATGTGGCAGCGGGAAACCGAGGGTGTTTTGGGGTTGAAAAATTAAATAAATAAGCATTTAAATGCGGAAATATAAAATTTACCAAAAGTCATCCTTAAAATTCTCAATTAAAGAACTGATTAAAAAAAAATAAATTTTTAAAAAAATCAACGTTTATTCGTCCTTGAAAAAATATTCTTTTGGCCCCTGAAAAATATTCTTAAAAAATCCACGTTTATAGATCCTTGAAAAAACACTCTTTTGGTCCTTGAAAAATATTATTTAAAAAATCCACGTTTATAGATCCTTGAAAAAACACTCTTTTGGTCCTTGAAAAATATTATTTAAAAAATCCACGTTTATAGATCCTTGAAAAAACACTCTTTTGGTCCTTGAAAAATATTATTTAAAAAATCCACGGCCTTTTGGTCCTTGAAAAAAAATATTTTTTAAAAAATCCACGTTTATTGGCCTTTTGGTCCTTGAAAAAATATTTTTTAAAAAATCCACGTTTATTGGTCTACAGGTCCTTGAATAATATTCTTAAAAAATCCACACTTAGTGGTCTTTTGGTCGTTGAAAATGTATTCTTTAAAAAGTCCACTTTTATTGGTCTTTTGGCCCTTGAAAAATATTCTTTGAAAATTATTCTTTAAAAATCCAGGTATATTTTTAAAAAAATCCAGGTATATTTTTAAAAAATCCAGGTTTATTTGTCTTTAAGTCCTTGAAAAAATATTCTTTATAAAATCCGCTTTTTTTCTTTTGGTCCTTGAAAAATATTTTTTAAGAAACTAGTTTATTGGTCTTTTGGTCCTTGAAAAAACATTCTTTAAAAAATCCAATTTTATTGGTCTTTTGGTCCTTGAAAAAATATCCTTTAACAAATCCACGTTTATAGGCCTTTTGTTTCTTAAAAAACTATTCTTTAAAAAATCCACTTTTATTGGTTAGTTAATATTTGATAAAATATTCCTTAAAAAATCCACGTTTATTAGTCTTTTGGTCATTGAAAAACTATTATTTAAAAATCCAATTTTATTGTACTTTTGGTCCTTGAAAAAATATTCTTTAAAAATCCACGTTTATTTGTCTGGCGGTCCTTGAAAGACCACAAGACCACGTTTATTGGTCTTGTGATCCTTGAAAAAAAATTCTTTAAAAATCCACGTCAATTGTTCTCTTGGTCCTTAAAAAAATATTTTTTTGAAAAATCTAAGATTAGTGGTCTCTTGGTTCTTAAAAAAATATTCTTTGAAAAATCCACGTCAATTGTTCTCTTGGTCCTAAAAAAATTTTTTTTTGAATAATCTACGACTAGTGGTCTCTTGGTCCTTAAATAAAATATTCTTTAAAAAATCCAAGTTTATTGGTCTTTTGGTCCATGAAAAAATATTCTTTAAAAATCCACGTTTATTGGCCTTTTGGTCCTTGAAAAATATTCTTTAAAAAATCTACTTTTATTGGCCTTTTGGTCCTTGAAAAATATTCTTTAAAAATCCACGTTTATTGGCCTTTTGGTCCTTGAAAATATTCTTTAAAAAATCTACTTTTATTGGCCTTTTTGTCCTTGAAAAATATTCTTTAAAAAATTCACGTTTATTGGCCTTTTGGTCCTTGAAAAATATTCTTTAAAAAATCCACGTTTATTGGCATTTTGGTCCTTGAAAAAATATTCTTTAAAAAATTCACGTTTATTGGTCTTTGAAAAAATATTGTTTAAAAAAATCGACGTTTATTGGTCTTTGGTCCTTGAAAAAATATTGTTTAAAAAATCTACGTTTATTGGTCTTTTGGTCCTTGAAAAAATATTCTTTAAAAAATCCAAGTTTATTGGTCTTTTGGTCCTTGATAAAATATTCTTAAAAAAATCCAAATTTATTGGTCTTTTGGTCCTTGATGAAAAAATATTCTTTAAAAAATCCAAGTTTATTGGTCTTTTGGTCCTTGAAAAAATATTCTTTAAAAAATCCAAATTTATTGGTCTTTTGGTCCTTGAAAACATATTCTTTAAAAAATCCAAGTTTATTGGTCTTTTGGTCCATGAAAAAATATTCTTTAAAAATCCACGTTTATTTTCCTTTTGGTCCTTGAAAAAATATTCTTTAAAAATCCTCGTTTATTTTCCTTTTAGTCCTTGAAAAAATATTCTTTAAAAATCCACGTTTTTTTAAAAAATCCACGTTTATTGGTCCATGAAAATCCACGTCTTTAAAAATCCACGTTTCTTTAAAAAATCCACGTTTATTGGTCCTTGAAAAAACAGTCTTTAAAAATCCACGTTTCTTTAAAAAATCCACGTTTATTGGTCCTTGAAAAAATATTCTTTTAAAAAATCCACGTTTATCCACGTTATGGTCCTTGAAAAATAGTCTTTAAAAAATTCACGTTTATTGGTCCTTGAAAAAATATTCTTTTAAAAAATCCACGTTTATTGGTCTTTTGGTCCTTGAAAAAATATTCTTTAAAAAATCCAAATTTATTGGTCTTTTGATACTTGAAAAAATATTGTTTACAAAATCCACGTTTATTGGTCTTGTGGTTCTTGAAAAAATATTCTTTTAAAAAATCCACGTTTATTGGTCTTTTGGTCCTTGAAAAAATATTCTTTAAAAAATCCAAATTTATTGGTCTTTTGATACTTGAAAAAATATTGTTTACAAAATCCACGTTTATTGGTCTTGTGGTTCTTGAAAAAATATTCTTTTAAAAAATCCACGTTTATTGGTAATATGGTCCTTGAAAAAATATTCTTTAAAAATCCACGTTTATTGGTCTTTTGGTCCTTGAAAAAATATTCTTTTAAAAAATCCACGTTTACTGGTCTTTTGGTCCTTGAAAAAATATTCTTTAAAAATCCACGTTTATTGGTCTTTTGGTCCTTGAAAAAATATTCTTTAAAAATCCACGTTTATTGGTCCTTAAAAAATATTTCTGAAAAATCCACGTTATGTTGGTCCATGAAAAAATATAGTATAAAAAATCCACGTTTATTGGTCTTTGTCCTTAAAAAAATATTTATTCCACGTTTATTAATCTTTTGGTCCTTGAAAAAATATTCTTTGAAAATCCACGTTTAGTGGTATTTTGGTCCTTGAAAAAATATTCTTTAAAAAATACATTCTTAGTGGCCCTTGATAAAATATTTAAAAAAATCGGCATTTATTGGTCCTTGAGAAAATATTTAAAAAATCCACTTTTACTAGTCGTGATGTCCTTGAAAGACATTCATAAAAATTTGTTAATCCATAAAATATTCTAAAAAAGTATAAAATATTTTTAGCGCCCTCTATCCGGCGAATACCTTTTCCATTGTGACGTTTATGTTTTGTGACAAGACCACTTTAAGCCAACTTTATTTAGTTAGCATTGCATGGCAATTTTTCTTTTTTTGTATTTTTTTTTCTCTCTCAATAACATTTGTTTTTTGCTTCTCTCTTTTGCAGATTCCTCGCCACCACCATGTTATCGGCCGGTGTCACCATCATGGATCCCATTGCCCTGACAATGATTGAAAAGTACGGCGGAGATTTTGGACGTGAGCGTTTGTTCTCCAGCATTGGCATGGCCATATTCTCACCCATCACCGGTGTCATGATTGATTACTATTCGAGAGGTCTCGGCTATACGGATTATTCGGCAGCTTTCTACACATACGATGTCTTATTAATTATTTCAACAGTTTCGGTGCTGATGATGCCGCTGGGCGAAAAGCTGCCGGCCGACAATGTCTTTAGGGATTTGTGGAATTTGTTAAAAATGCCACATGTGATAACGTTTATATTCTTCCTGTTTATCCTGGGCAACTTTTGGGGCTTCATCGAAAGTTTTCTGTTTTTGTATCTGAAGGAGTTGGGAGCACCGAATTATTTATTGGGTAAGTTTGTTTTTGTGTACTTTCGTGTTGTTGTGGTTGTTAGTAATGTTGTTGTTTTTGTATACTAAAGTGTTTGTAGTTTATTGCTTAAGATTTGTAATATTTTATGGAGATTTCATTGATTGGATTTTTTTTTGTTTTAGTTGTTATAAAATACACGATTTGGTCATATCGGTCAAGGAATGTGACCTGGCTCAATTCATATTATTTAAGGAAGTGTGTGACTGATTCTTTGGTTTATTGTCCATTCAGATAAAGTGGGAGATGCTAGAAACTTTTATGTACTTTTAGGGCTATGGGTTGGATTTTGCATTTTTGGAAATTCATATGTGTGGGCAAGTGGATGGCGATTGGTTGCCACAAAGTGACACAAAATTGGATTTTAGTGACCACATAATTGGCTTCAAAAAAATTGAGTAATATTGTCTATCTGTTTGTCTGTCTATTGTAATCACGTTTTCTTTCGAACGAGAAGAAGGCATTTTTTCATATAGCCCCCATATAACGGTACCTCTGAATATTTGGTGTAATGATGATTTTAGCGATATATTTTACCGGAATTGCTTAAAAAATTCGTATTTAAAGTTCGTTAAAGGTACTACAGCCGGTGACAAAAAATCACGTATGCGTAATAGCCTCCATGTAGGGGTACCTCCCAATATTCGGTATTTTGATGATTTTAGCGGTATTATTCAGCAGAACTGTTTAAAATTTCGTAATGGATACTACAGCCTATGACAAGAATTACTTATGAAGGAAGACGTCTTCGTATAGCCCCGGAATATGTATCGGTTGTTTTAATTCCAATTTTAAAGTGCTCTGTTTTGTTACGGTTAGCAATTTCACAATTTTCCAAAATACACGTATATTTAGTGTCCATTCCTTACTAGTTTCAAATGGCAATAAAGATCTGATCAAGTTTTTAGAATTGAAATTAGAGATTTAATTAATATCGATATGTTATTCGGAAGATCGGTTACTTGACGACAATTAATTAGGTTTGCATTTTACGTTTTTTGAAGAAGTTGGGTTCCAAGCATAGTGGATAGTGGTACTTTGAAAATTCGATTCTTGTGCTTGTAGAATCTGAAAGAACAGAATATTAATTTTTGGTAGTAGCGTCAGATGTAAAGCCAGACCGGAGGCTATAATCTGGCACCAACTGGAAATTGATTTGGTAGTGATGTGTTTTATATTCAAATCGCAATTAAAGTCTCGAGTCGAATGTGAAGTTGCATTATGAACTGAGAGCCGAACTCAGGGAAGAACAAGAATTATATTGGCTCCGCACCTAACCAAAGAGCTGGCCACACTCGATTGAGGGCAAACAAATTGGTTCTGACCTTGTGTCAGATAAACCAAACCCCAAAAGCGTTTCAATCTCCAAACCCAAACTTTGACAGAGGTAGGAGGATGCTTCTTCAAATCAGATTTTACAGATCTAATAAAGAGTTTTCTATCTTAAGAAACCCTTATTACCTATTTATTGGGTTTCCATAGACAAAAGCCCTTCTGCAGGTTCCGTTAAGACAGAAGACATTTTAGAGTCTACATGTCTTCTTTACAGAGAAGATATTTAAGAGACATTCCCTTAAGATAAGAGATCTGCTGTAGACGGATTATCTTTCATAGATTTTCAATAGCCATCTGTTGACCTTTACTGCTACTTTATTTACAAAAGACGTCATCTTAAATAGGTTCAGTTTCATTTTGTTATAGCCAGTCTTTGGTTACGGCAAGTTGAAATAAATATTTGTATATAAAAGAGTTCTGAAATAACTGAATGACTGAACGAGAATTAACGCCCAGATAAATATTCGAAATAAACAAGTTAAAAAGTATTTGTTGGTTTTGCCGACAGATATATACCCTCAGATAATATTCGATTATTAAAATAAATTTTGATTCCTGTTATGATTATTCAAATTTTTGACCCTCCATGGAGTAGGTTCCGAAGGAATAGGCCAAATTGTCCACTTTCCTAAAAAAATATGATATAAATATTGCGACGTGCCAGGTTTAAACTATGTTGGTTACTTCCTTCACTTTATATGAGATCTGCAATCTTTTTTAGAAAATGTTAAAATGTGCGTGAGACACGAGATATTCGGCCGAATTATACAATTTTCATACCTCATCCAATACAGATAAAGATATTGGTATGGGCAAAAAAATCGAACATTTATATCCAATTTTATGCGAAATAATAAATTCCATATTCATATCAGGTTTCTGGTTGAGATAAATTGCGATTTCTTTGAGCATTTTGTTTTTAAAATCTTTAACCCTATATAGGGGAGGTAACAGAAGAAAAGGTCCGATCTCTACCATCTTTATAACAAATCTTGTGTTGATGGTAATGCTGAGGTGTGCCAAGTTTGAATGGATTCGAATGTCAATGTCGGGTTTTATGAGCTTCGATGATTTTCAAAATTTTGAACCTTTGTGGGGGAGGTACCAGAAGGAGTCGACCGATATATCCCATTTTCATAGCAGATGTTGTTTCAGTAAGAATAATGGGATGTGTAAAATATGAAGAGAACCGGATGCTTATGTCGGATTATGTGATCGTTTTGGTTATTCAATACTTTGATCCTTTGTGCTGGAAGTTTCAAAACAAGTGGTCCGAACTCTGCCGTATTTATGACAGATTTTGTGTTGATGGAAATATAAAGATGTAGCAATTGTGAATGAAACCAAACATTAATTTTGCGTTTTATGAGCTTCATGGATATTCAAAATTTTGACCCTTTGTGGGGCACGTACCAGAAGTAGTGGACCGATTTATCCCATCTGTACAGCTGATCTTGTGTCAGAGGAAATAATTGGATATGTGAATTATGACGAGAACCGGATGCTTATTTCGGATTTTATTATTGTTTAGAGTCTTCAAAACGTTCACCCTTTTTGGGGAGGTACCAAAAGGAATTGTCCGATCTCTACCATCTTTATAACAGATCTTGTGTTGATGGAAATTTTGAAAGTTGGGGCAAAATCGGATTATCCTTTCTTTTTTTGAAAATTTCGAACTTTTTTGGGGAGGTACCAGAAGGAGTGGACCGATATTGCCTATCTCAGAACTCGATTTAAGTTTGACAATAGTAGTACAATGTACCAAGTTTGGATCAAATCGGATTCTCCCTTCAAGAGTTATCATGCGCACCAAACAGCCAGACGGGCGTACACCGCCAGATCGTCTCCAAATGTCCTGAATCAGTTTCTTTCCAAAGAGGGCTAGGGTCTAAACCCATTATTTCGAAGAGGCACGTTTTGGCCGTATGAAATGATATATGCTCTCTCTAGTCGTGTGGCTAGGGAGGGTATAAAACCCTATCCTATACTCCATCAGCGTCCATAATTCTAACAGTTTTGTGGATTTTTTACAAGCTGATATTAGGGGATATAAAATGCTCAGTTTGGCGAAACTTAAAGCCATCTTAAATTTCGTATAAAAAAAAAATTAAAAAAAAACAAGTCAAACCATTAAAGAAAGTCTTAAAGTCGAGCGGGGCCGACTTTATGATACCCTACATCACTTTGCTAATTTAGTAGAGCTCCGCATAACAATTAAAAGTTTTTATGGGAGAATTCAATCATACACGCTATGATTATAATTATAATTTAAAGTTCAAAGGACTAAATATGCCGAAGCATTTGTATCTTTTAAATTCGGAGTTGTATTGCCCATTTGGTGCACAATTAATTTGAAATCGGATAAAGATATATATGGGAGCTATATCCAAATCTGAACCGATCTCGATAAAATTTGGCAAAGATATTTCTGATCTGTCTGTGATATATTTCCCTGAATATTGCTGTTACGGAGTGCATATTATGGCTGTGGGTAACAAATACAACAAATCTGGTAGCTATAGCTATATTTTACCCGATCTTCAGCAAATTTGGCATACTACCTTCTAGACTCAATTCGATCGAATGTGCCAAATTCCATCCCATTTGGGCAAATATTAAACGTTTGGTGCACAACGTAAGGTAAATCGGACGAAGTTATATATGGGAGCTATATCAAAATCTGAACCAATCTCGATAAAATTTAGCAAATGTATTTCTGAGTTGTATTTGAAATATTCCCCCAAATATTTTTGTTGCAAAGTGCATATTACGGCTGCGAAGGACAAAAATAACAAATCGGATGAGCAATATATATGGGAGCTATAGCTATATCTGAACCGATTTCTATCAAATTTGGCATACTTATTTTCAGACCGAATTTGGTTGTATGTGCAAAAATGTGCAGGCGGATATTACACGTTTGGTGCACAATAAAAGGCAAATCGGACGAAGATATATATGGGAGCTATATCTAAATGTTGACCGATTATCTCCAATTTTAATAGGGTTCGTCCTTGGGCCAAACAAATGTTGTTTGGAAAATTTCATCTCAATCGGATAATAAATGCGACCTGCATTTTCTTCACAAGAAGACATGGACGGACGGACAGACGGACCGACATGCATAAATCGACTTAGAATGTGATTCTATGCAGATCATCAAAAGGATCTATGGGTCTATCTCGTTTCCTTTTGCCTGTTACAAACAAATGCACAAGGACATAATACCCTGACCACCTTGTTGTGTGCGGTATAAAAAAAAAATCAAAAAAGCCGCTTCATATTTCAACTATCAAACGTAAATGTATTAGCCAAGTCTACAAAGTGACCGAATCAATAAAAGTGACAATCAATAAAACCGAACTACACTAAAGAAGAACTTTCGAAGTAAAAACAGTTTGTGTAATCTGTCAAATGTAATCAATGACAAACGGATTTTCAAGGGCATGAAGAATGTTTTAGTATAGCAAATATATACATTTCAGAAAAAATCGAATATAAGTCGAATATTAAAGAGAAGAACAAAGTTTGTTATGTAAATTCTGCGTACTTCAACTTCAATTGGCAGGAAGTAAATTTCCAAATTTGTTTGTTGATTTTGAGACAACTGTCAATTTATTGAAATTTTCTTCCTCTCCCAACTAACACCGCTCCCGGGGAAACGGGAAGTAAAACCTTAATAAAAGAATCCCCTTCCCCCGTGAATTCTTCGTTAATGGAAATTAAGTTAGTGGGACATTAAGGATATTGTATTTTACATTTCACATTGCCAACATTACTAGCACTCACACCCACTCACACACACGAAATGTACTTAAGTCAATTGATGTTGAGTAGACGAAGGGAAAAAAAAAGCGGAACATTTAGGATTTTCCCAATGCTAATGGAATACTAACTAACAAACAAGGAATCTTATTTGCCATTTCACCTCCCCTCTTTTTTTCTGCTTCTGTGTTTATTTGCAGGCATTACCATCACGGTGGGTACCGTCAGCAGTATACCGTTCCTGTATGGTGCCGAGAAAATTACCCGAATTTTCGGACATGTTAATTTGATTATTATTGCTTTCTTTTCGCATGCTGGTCGTTTGGTGGGCTATTCCTTCATCGAGTAAGTAATAAACAACAATTGCAAGTATGTATATATGTATGTATGTGTGGATATGCAATGTAACACGCACAGGAAACACACAGACAAACTCGCTCTTGATCGAAGATACACGACCGTGTGTTGTGAAACACGCTTTAGAGTCACAAATCCTTACCGTATTTGAAATTCTAATCACACCCGCAGATGTACACACCACGCCGACAGAGAAGCTTATTTATGATGGCAAAGTGGTTTGGAGGGTGAGGTTGATTTGGAATTTAGAGATAAAAGGAAGATAATATAATATTCTATGTGTTTACAGACTATCAATGTATAGTGGATGGGAGACATTTGGGTCAAATTAATGTTCTACTTATTACCACCATATGTTACCCACCACCATCCTATAGTTATATTAATTTTATCATTCAGTTTGAAACTCCTCGAAATACTTATGTCAGACCCAGCAATGTATTTATATTCTTGATCAGCGTAAAATTCTACGTTGATTTAGCGGTGCCCGTCTGCGTTTCATTCTGTTGCAATTACGCTATCTTTAGAACAAATTATAATAGAAAGCTAAAATTTTGCGAATATATGTGAATTTCACGAGTAGGCAAGTTAAGTTCGCAAATAGGTCATGTAGGTCCACGTTTTGATATAGCTCTCATATAACGGTACCTCCCATTATGTGGTATTTTGTCGATTTTAGCTATATTTTTTACCGGAATTGTTTCAAATTTCATATTTAAAGTTTGTTAAAGGTACTACTGACTTGTAGAAAAAATAGCTTATGCAGGTCCACGTCTTCTTATAGCCCCCTTTATAACGATACCCCCTGATATACGATATTTTGATGATTTCAACGGAATTATTCCCCGAAATTCTTTCAATCTTTGTATTTGAAGTTCGTGATGGGTACTGCAGCCTATGCCTGAAAATTGTCTATGCAGGGTCATGTCTTCATAGAGCCCCCATATAATGATACCTCCCGATATTCGATATATTGATGATATTAGCCACATTATTCACCGGAATTGTTTCAAATTTCGTATTTGAACTACGGAATGGGTACTTACGCGGGACTACGTATATATTTATATCAATAACTGGACCGTCAATAGATAAATTTATCTTTAAAGTATCTACTGGCACTGAAACCTGAAAAGCTCAGCAATATATTGTGGGAAAAGGAGTTCGATTGTCATTGCTGGTTTTCTGGTTAAAGATAGTTACTAAAGACAACATCAGACTCGAAAAGGGCTACTAATTAAGGATTATGCGAAAATGACGATCTATGTCGCATTACCGGAATTGTAATTTATTAAAAAAAAGGTCGTCAGCAATTCCCTTAGATAAGACATATATATATATATATATATATATATATATATATATATATATATATATATATATATATATATATATATATATATATATATGTATATATATATATATATATATATATATATATATATATATATATATATATATATGTATATATATATATATATATATATATATATATATATATATATATATATATAACTGGCCCCTCGATAGTCATATTTTTCGGGAAGGCCATCTACTGCCTCTGAAACCTGTAATATTCTATGGGATTATGCCATAAATGGACCATTTTAGGTGAAGTTGTAAGTTTCTGGTAAAATGTAGGCGCTAAGGCCAACATCGAACCCAAAAAAGGCTACTAATTAGTGGTTACACGCAAATGATGTCTTACCGATAAACCCTTAAAAGGAGGCCTTTATTAAATCGTGAACCTCGAATACAAGTTTGTTGGTTGGCAGTTTCCAGGCCTTTGGAATGTGCAAAAGCCCTGCATTATTTTATAGCTGAGTTGAAAGAGGGAAGGATTGCTATAACAAAAATAAAAATGTAAAAAAAGGAGATAAGTTGGACGAATTTTTAGTACCATTCAGAAGGAACTTGAAAAAATGCAAAAAAAATCTGAAAGATACAAATCGAATGAATGCCTTCATATGGGGGCTACATGAATATTTTTTGTCATAGGCTGCAGTACCGATTCTGAACTTCAAGTATAAAGTTGTAAACAATTCCGGTTAAAAATGTCGCTATATCTTAAAAATGCCGAATAAAAAGAGATACCGTTATATGTGGGGTATGCAAAGACGTGGACCTGCATAGACAATTTTCTGTCAAAGATTAAAGTATCCATTACGAACTTCAAATTCCCGTCTATAATATCTGTAAAGGTAACGTTATATGGGGGATATATGAAAACGAGGACCTGAATACAACATTTTTTGTACCCATTAGGAGGAGTAATGGGCCAAAGGCTACTAATTAGGGGTTGTACAGAAGGTTTGACCAATGTCTCAACATTTTGGATAGATCCGTCTAAAGGCTCACAATTTGGGGGCTAACCTGCAAAAGAATATCTATAAGATCTTTCTGTGTAATAAAAAATTCAGATAGTGCATATAGCATAATTCAATTAAAAGGTGACGTGTCTATAGAAGACTTGATATAGGCCAATGGTCTCTAGTAGGCATGTAAAAGTTCTTCTCTCCTTACCTGTAAAGGGTTTTCTGTCTGTAGAAAACCTTTCAAAAGTTGTTTGGCTCTAGAAGCCCTGCTAAAGGTCTTCTAGCTGTACAAAACCTAGTAAAGAACTTATGTCTATGGAAGACCTTTGAATGAACTTCTGCATATAGAAGACCTACCAAATAACTTCTGTCTATATAAGACCTCTTAAAGGCATTCTGTTTATAGAAGACTTGTCAAAGGGAACCTGTAAAAGGTCTTCTGTCTATAGATTACCTGTAAATGGTCTTGCGGCTATCGAAGGTCTGTTAAAGGTTATCTTTCTGTGGAAGCTCTGTGAAGGGTCTTCCGGCTTTAGAAGACCTGTAAAACACTATTGAAGGCTTGTTAAAGTGCTTTTATCTATAGAAGACCTGTAGATGGTAGAAGACCTGTCAAAAGTTTTTTGACTCTAGAATACTTGCTAAAGGTCTTTTAGTTGTGGAAGATCTGCTTAAGGTCTACTAGCAGTAGATCATCTGTAAATGGTCTTTTGTCCATTAAACCCCTGACCAAGGTCTTCTCTCTACAAAAGACCTTTCAGAGATCCTCTCTCTATAGCAGACCTTTTAAAGTTCTTCTTTCTATAGAAGACCTGTAATAAATTTTCTGCCTATAGAAGACGTAGAAAAATCTTCTGCCTATTAAAGCCCTTTTCCGTCTATAGAAGGCCTGTAAATATCTTCTTTTGTCTATAGAAGACCTGTAAAGGGTCTAAGGTGGCCCATAAAGTTCCTGGGAAGGGTTTCAGTCAATAGTAAGCGGGTGAAAGATCTTTAGTTGATAGTAGACCTATAAAGATCCCTTATGGATGACCTCTCAAAGTCATCACTATAAAATACCTCTCCGATAGAAAATCGGTTAAAGGTCTTCTGTCTATAGAAGGCCTGTCAAAGAGCTTTTTTCTATAGAAGAATGACAAAGTTCTTATTTCTATGGAAGACCACTCAAAGATTTTCTGTCTATAGAAGATCTGAAACCTGTAACAACCATTCTATTATGGAAGACTTGTTGAAAATTTTCGGCCTTTAGAGGATTTGTCAAAGATCTTTTACCTTTTCGTGACCTGTTGAAGGAGAAGATTTCTTAAAGGTCTTTTCTCAAAACAATAACTGTAAAAGGAAAAGTCTTTTGTTTAAGGGGAACCAGTAAAAGGCTTCGGTCTATAGAAGACCTAAAAAACGATTCTATAAAATCTATAAATAAAAGAGGGCTCTATTAACTTGTCTGTGATATGTAAACGTTTTACCTACAGGTCACCATGACTCTATAGAAACCCGTTAAGATGTGATCGATTAAAGATCTTCCGTAATACACCTACATGGTGTCTTCTTTCTATCTCTGGAATATGTGAAGTGTTTTCTAGCTATGGAAGACCTTTAAAGTGCCTTGCCTCTCTTATTAGAATACTTTAGAATCGTATTCTCTCCATAAAAGACTTTTTAAGAGCTTCCTCTCTTAATAGAATACCTTAAAATCTTTTTTCCCATAGAAAAACTTTTAGGCGTCTTCGCTCTGTATGCCTTTGAAGAGCGTTCTCTTTATAGGAGATCTTTAAAGTGGATTTTTTCTGCAGAAATCTTTTAAAGGATCTTCCGAAATGCTTTAAAGTTCTTTTTGGTAAAGAAGATCTTCAAGAGATCTTCCTTCTTAAAAAAAAAAAACTTCAAAGGCTCTTTTGGCTATAGAAGGTCTTCAAAGAGTCTTCTTTCATACAAGACCTTCCAAAATTTTTCTGTCTATATAAGGGTATTTATAATGTTCGATCCTTTTGAAAGCTTCCAAAATGACTCCTATTAAAGTCCCCTTCAAAAAACTCTGGCTATAGAAAGTCTTTTTAAAGTCTTCTTTAAAGATCGATTATTTTGCAATCCTTAAATCCCTGTGTTGCATTGAGAATCTTCTTTCTTATGCCATTACTGCCTGTGACGTGTGGTCTGGCATAACACTCACTCACCCACTCAGCCACACCAACATACTTCACATCAGTCCCCGGAAAGATTTGGTTTGGCTGAATATGGGTCTCCACTCTTGTGTTGTCGAGCGGTTTTGGGTGGCATATTTGACAGGTTTCTGTTGTTGGCTTGCCTTATTTGTGATTCTATTTGATTTTTTCTCTCCTTTCTTTCTTTTTTTTTTCTTCATTACCTATGAATAATCCCCAACTACTTTGTTTTCTTGTTTTTTTTTTCTGCCTTTCATCCATGGTCCATTCTCATTGGTCTTATTTGCCGTACTGATGCTGTTGATGATGATGCTTCTGATGCTACTACTGCTGTTGTCGTTGCTGCTTCTGGTGTTCAGAAATGCCTGGTGGTGTTTTCCTTTTGAGGCAATGGAAGCCCTCTCGTGTCACTTGATGTGGGTGGCAGCGGCCACATACTGTTCCATATTGGCACCAAAAAGTCTACTGGCCACTTTGATTGGAGTGCTGGGCATGGCCCACTTCAGTTTGGGTAAGTACAATTGCAGATTATACGAAATTAGAATCCATTCTTGATATGGTCGTATGAATGTCTGTATGTTCCGCTATTGTTGTTGTTGTTATTGTATGGAAATGAGAAGAAAAGAAAAAAGTGATTTACTTGAATATTGCTTTGTTCTGGAGCCATTCGTTTTCGATTCGATTTCATAATCCTTAGATTGATTTGTGGAGAGCAGGAAATGTGGATTTCGAATTAGATATAAGTAGTTCTGTTTAAATGGGATTTTCAAGGAACTCCGTAAGCAATTTTGAAGACAGCAGATTTTGAGGAAAATTATCTTGGGATTCTAAGAAATTGGGTAAAGGGTCGATATAGGTTTGTCATAGCTCCTATAAAAGGCCACCTTGGTTTTCTCAATAAATTATTTTGAATATCAGACGTTTCAGGTCGAAGTAAGGTCTTGATTTTCTTAAAAAAAAACCGGAAAGTTCAATATTTTTGAAAATTTAGTTACCAATTTTCGATCGCATTTCACATTTTTATACCCTTAGCCATATCGGTAGAAAGGATATACAGGGTGAGATGAGAAAACTGCAACCAATTTCAGACTGCTGTCATTTCAAAGCCACTCGTCCGACAGTTTTTAAAATTATTCCAGTGACAGCTCATTATATTGCTTACAAGCGTACAAAAGCATTTTGGTGAGAATTTTCCAGAAAAAATGTTATTCGTGATGGAATTCAAGCGTGATGGTGTGATTTCTTTTTATTTGGCTTGAAAGTCGCAAGTTGCTATCTTCATCTATCCAGCATTTAAATGTGAATAAATCGTCTGTGTCTCGTTCCATAGTTCGTTACCGTGAGGTTAGCGTAGTCCGACGTCAAGGAAGTGGACGGAAGAAAACAGCAACATCAGCACAAATGGTTCGAAAAGCAAAGAAGCGACTTGATCGAAACCCTCGTCGCAGTGGCCGAAAAATGGCTCGTGAGCTGAACATATCGCAATATTCCATTCGGAAAATATTGAAAAATGATCTCGGGGTAAAGCCATTAAAATTCCAAAAAGTGCAAGAAATTACACCATACCGGAAAGTAATTATACTCAAAAGAGCTGAAGAGTTGCGTCGCTTGGCCGGCAGTAGTGAACTGCCGTTTTTGCTTTCCTCCGATGAGAAAACATTCTTTGTCCAGCAGTGTGTAAACAAACAAAATGATCGTGCTTACTTGCCAAAGAGGTCAGCTGAATATGTGCACCTTCGGTTGGCCACCAGAACTCAAGGGCCGGCCATGGTGATGGTGTGGTGTGGCCATAACAGCCGATGGTCGCTCTCCGCTCGTATTAGTCGACTGTGACATCAGAATAAATGCCGAATATTATCGCCCAAAATATATTGTAGGGTGTTTTAAAGCCTTGGGCACGCAAAAATTTTGGTCGCACACCTTGGAAATTCCAACAGGACTCAGCACGCGCCATACAAGAATGGTTACAAAATTAGGTTCCTCGCTTCATTTTCAGCTCATAATGGCCACCAAGCCTCCGGATACGAATCCGTTGGACTATTGTGTCTGGAGTTTTTTGAAAAGCAAGGTTGGCACTAAAAAATACCAAAGTGTCGATCACCTCAAGCAAGCGCTTCACCGGGAATGGGCTAAAATACCGCAGAGCAACTTTCGAACAGCGTGTGACGGTTTCATTGGCCGCTTAAAGGCCATAATTCATGTCAAAGGTGACCAATTCGAACAAATCTGAACTTATTCCAAAATTTGATGCAATTTCCGACATTTTTTGCCTTCAATTAATAAAAATTAAAACAAGTTAAAAAGTATCAGTCGGTATTGCCGCCAGTTATATACCCTCAGCCTATGTTCGATTATCTAAATATATTTTGACTAATGTTAAGATTATTCAAACGTTTGATCCTCTATGGAGCAGATCCCGAAGGAATGGGCCAATATTGCCCATTTCCTATCGGACCCAAAAATATGATATAAATATTTCGACAGATGTGCGAAGTCTAAATGGAATCGGATGTTAATTTGACGTTTTATCAGCTTCATGGGTACTCAAAATTTCAATATTTTGTGGGGGAGGTACCAGAAGGAGTGGACAGATGTATTCCCCCTTCACACCAGACCATGGGTTAATACAAATATTAGGATGTGTGAAATTTGAAGACAATCGGACTTTTACATCATATTTAATGAGATTGTAATTATTCAACATTTTGACCATTTTTGGGGGAGGTACTTGATGGAGTGGACCGATATTGTCCATTTCCACACCTGACCTAGTACTGACACAAATATTAGGATTTGCAAAGTTGGAGCAAATTCGGATTATCCTTTCTCTTTCTGTGCAAAAAAAATATATTTTTTGAAAATTCCGACCTTTTGTGGGGGAGGTACCAGAAGGAGTGGACCGATATTGTTCATCTTAACACCAGACCTTGGGTTAATAAAAATATTGGAATGTGTGAAATTTGAAGATAATCGGACTCTTACATAACATTTTATGAGAGTTGTAATTATTCTAAACTTTGACCATTTGTGGGTGAGGTACTTGATGGAGTGGACCGATATGGTCCATTTTTACACCTGACCTAGCACTGACACAAATATTAGGATTTGCAAAGTTGGATCAAATTCGGATTATCCTTTCTTTCTGTGCAAAAAAATATATTTTTTGAAAATTCCGACCTTTTGTGGGGGAGGTCCGATTGCCTTGAAATTACACACAACACAATATTTGTACTACCCCAAGGTCTGCTGTGAAAATGGGATATATCGGTCCACTACTACCTGTGCCACCCCCATGAAATTTCAAAGTTTTAAATATCCATGAGGCTCATATAACGCAAAATTAATATCCGATTCCATTCAGACCCGGCACATCTCAATATTTCCATAATCACAAGATCTGTTATAAAGATGGTAAAGATCGGACCATCCCTTCTGGTACCTCCCCCACAAAGGGTCAATGTTTTGAATAATCAAAACGATCATAAAATCCGAAATAAGCATCCGGTTCTCTTCATATTTCACACTTCCAATTATTTTTGCTACACAACTTCAGCTGTGGAGATGGGATATATCGGTCGACTCCTTCTGGTACCTTCCCCACAAGGAGTCAAAATTTTTAATATCCATGAAACTCATGAAAAAGCGCGAATTTAACATCCGGTTCCGTTCAGACTTGGCACATCTCAATATTTCTATCAACGCAAGATCTTTTATAAGGATGGTAGAGATCGGACCATTTCTTCTGGTACCTCCCCAAAAAAAGGTTTAAGGGGGTTTAAAAAACGCTGAAAGCGAAACAGGCATCCAACTCTCTTCAAATTTCACAGCTGGCACGTCGCAATATGCGAAATGGACAATATTGACCCATTGCTTCTGAACCGACTCCATAGAGGGTCAACAATTTGAAGTTAAAAGTCAAAATATATTTTAATAATCGAATATTGGCTGAAGGTATACATTTGTCGGCAAAATCGACTGATGCAGTTTAACTTTTTTTAATCCAAAGGCAATTATTTTAATCTCTGTATATCCACCAGCGTTTTTTATTGTCGATGCTATCTCTTGTGAGAAAATGTCCCATTTATATTTCAGAAAGCTCCCGAAAAAATATTCGAATTAAAGAAACCCAAATAAGGCTATCACCCCTCGTATAAAATTCCTCAGAAGAATCCGATTTGTTATTCTCAAATATGACACATTCATTGTTGTTATTTTGTTTGTGTGTTGAATGTGAAAATGATTGAACTGAAATCGTATCTTATTGTCGTCAATCATTCAATAGGATTCCCATTATTATTTTCTTTTCTGTAAAATACAAGCCTATGGAATATTCGTATTTTTTGTGGTCTATTCAATAAAGCTTAGCATATTTGTTGTTATTTTTTATGTATATTAGATTGTACGATTGCCAAAAAAATGTTTTTTTTTTTTTTGTGGTTTTTTGTATTGAAATTATTTGTAATGGATCAGCTATTTTTTTCTTGAATACATTTAAATGTGGTTTCAATGAAAGGCGACAAAAATTCATGAAAGTGATTACTCGAATGTGTTTGGATGGGGTGTTTGTTTACGCTAAATTGGTGTAGAATTTTGTTGGAAAACATTGCTGGTATTGTCGGGGATAGAAAATTTAACTCGAAAGTAAAACTACGACACTTTCAAATCCTCTTATATATTTTTCCTTATTATTTATAAATTTTAGTATCATCAAAGAATCCATTGATCTTCTGAGTAATTTCATTGGAATTTAAACCAATGTCCTATAGTTTTTGAACTTGGGTCTTTTAAAATAAAATACATTTAAGGATATATGAAGTCGATCTAGCCATGTCCGACTGTTCGTTCATATGGACAATAAACGGTTCGCTCCTTTTGGTACCCACAATTTTGAATAGAAATGACTCCATTACGCTTTCTATTATCTCCCCCTACAAGATTATTAATTTAAAAAAAAGAAAACACTTAAGCAAAGGCTATAGTCGTGCGGGGCCGATCATGTGATACCCTACAACACTAAAATATGTTAGAAGCCCCCTTATATCCAGATCGATTTTGAAAGATTTCGCTTTTGAAATTATGTCACGAGACATTGACCAGGGACATTTGCCCAATATTTTGGCACTCCGTCATACTGTTGTTGTGGTCCATTTTCCATCCAAAATGCTAGAATCCTTCCCTGTCCTTAACTGTCTTCTCAGGCGTGTCGATTGGCGTTAATTGTGTGATCAGGATTTTTCTTTTCTGTTTTTGGTTCATTTTAACCCCTCTTCCAAAAGCAAGAGGCCCCTCTGTATTTCTAAATTTAAACTCATCTATATGATTTGCTTGTCTACGATATTTGGCTATATTCGTCAACGAAATCAGCATAAAAAAGCCAGAAGTTCGGCTTTTGTATATTTCGGATATCGCCTGTAAGCAATGCTGGTCTTTTTTCGCACAAAAGTAGTGGTCCATTCTACTCGTTGTCGTAATCTCTTATTTTATGCAAGATTTCGAGTCCTTTAGTTTCTATTGGCGACCTTTATAACGGTTGCAAAATCAGGAACATTTTGAGTTGTTGGTCCATTTCAACCTCCAAATATATTGCGGACATCTTTATAACCAATAGGACTAGCCCTTTTAAGCCTAACCCTGCACGTATAAAAATTTTCGTGAGGATTGGGCGATAATTGCAATCTGTATATAATAACCCCAACCTGTGTTGTAATGTGAAAAAATATTACAAAATGTACAATACAATATTATAAGTCAAATTGAAAAAATCGCATGCGATAAAAAATATGAAAAAATAAAAAAATGTCACAAAATGCTACAAAACCTATATTTACATCATTATTGGCATTTTTTTATGCGATTTTTTAAGATTTTATACCTTTATGCCTGAATTGACAAAATTTGTCAAAATCGGCCATTCTTGAGATATAAGCATTATATTTGTATATACACGTTGTATATATTTCGCTATATATATATCCGATATATTAACTATCGTCATCGACGTAACGGTCAGAATTGACCTGTTCGTCTGTTTGTGATTTCGTCGGGATTAAAAATATTCGCGTTTTAATGGAAATTTTGACTTTTATTTAACACAAATGTTATGGTCTATTTCACCCACTAAATATTAGCCGATGACCATCAAAATTGGAAGACTTATAGCCACCTCTAAGCTCTATCTCCGTGCTAACTTCCGCTTCGATTGGTCCATAATTGCGACCTGTAGAGCAACTGCAAAATCAGGAAATTTTTCAGTTTTTGGTCCATTTCGACCCCTAAATATTATGCGATCATCTCCAAAATCAATAGGGTTCTATTCTGATCATAACCCCACCTCCATTTTCAATTTCGTGAGGATCAGACTATAATTGCGACCTATAGAGTGATTACAAATTAACATGGACAGACGGACGGACGGACATACATAGCTAGATCGACTCAGCTCGGCGAGCTAGGAAGATCCATATATACTTTCCTATGTGGGAAATCAATATTTCGAGCTGTTACATTATTTTTGGCCCAATCAAACTTATAATACCCCCAACACATAGTGTTGTAGGGTATAAAAATCATACATATTCCTCATATAAAAGGAATCGAGTCCTCCACATATTCCTTACTTGGTTCGTGTAAATATTTATATTAAACTAAATTCAGGAAAAAAGAACATGAAAAATATTTCGAAACTTTGTCAAAAATGTCAATTTTTTGAGTAATAACAAATCCAGTAAATTGTGAAATCAATTTTATTTAGACTCCACAAAGTATATATATTCCCGATCAGCGGATAAAATTCTTCGTCATTTTGTGATGTCTGCCCGTCTGTGGAAAACACTCTAGCTTCCGAACAAAATGATGTAGGTTGATAAAATTTTACTGGGATGTGTTTTAGTTATGAAGAACTTTTTTTTAACTGAATTATGTCAAACTTGTTATTTGGAGTTCGTGGTTGCACCACCTTCTCTGGCTATCTGCCATAGAAGCAATAAAGGTCGTTCGCTTAGGCCTCATATAAATTTACTTCCAGATATTTGGAATTTCGATTATTTTTGTCACACTTTTCTTCCTATAACAGAAAATTGTCCTTATTAATTCACGTCCTTCTGCTGTCTCTGTTTCAAATTTGGTATTTGAAGTTCGAAATGGATACTACAACCTAGGATAGAAAATTGTCTGTGCAGGTCCACGTCTTCGTATAGCCCCCATATAGCGGTACCTCCCTATATTGGGTATTTTGATGATTTTAGCGACATTATTCACCGGAATTGTTTCAAATTTGGCATTTCAAGTTCGTAATGGATACTACAGCTTGTGACAGAAATATATAGCCCCTCTATAACGGTACCTCCCAATACTTGGATTCTTGATGATTTTAGCGTCATTATTCACCGGAGTAGTTTCAAATTATGTATTTGGAGTTCGTAATGGGAACTACAGTCTGTGACAGAAAATTGTCTACGCAGGTCCAGGTCTTCGTATAGGCCCCATATATCAGTACCTCCCTATATTCGGTATTTTGACGAGTTTAGGTACAATACCCACCTAATTTGTTTGAGTTGTCGTATTTGACGTTCGTAATGGATGCTACAGCCTGTGACAGAAAATTGTCTATGCAGGTACAGGTCTTCGTATAGATCCGATATAACGGTACCTCCCTATACACGATATTTTAATGATTTTAGCTACATTATTCACCGTTTATTTTATGTTTCGAATTTTAATATGGTAATGGCTTATGACAAACAATGCCTAAGTAGGTCCACGTCGTGTAGACCCCAAAATAACGGCTAAATTCGGTATTTTTTAAATTTTAACAGAATTTTTTAAGGATTTTATTTTTTGAAAATTTCCAAATTCGTTGCAAATGGTGGAGGGTATTAAAGGTTCATACATATTTTATATCTAAAGGTAACCAAAAAGTTTTTTTTTTTAAATTTCAACTGAAAGGACGACCAGTGCGGTTTTCAAATTTTGACTAATGGTTCGTGCTATGGCCAATGTCCAATACAAATTGAGGACAATTAATTATACAAGTAATCCTCCTATGAAGAAATGCTTTAAATTTTACGATAGGTCCATAGAGTTTTAATTACCGCAAAAAAAAAAAAAATCGGAAAATCTGTTAAGTACATATGCATGTACAAGTTGGCGCAAAAGTAATCTTCTGATGTTTTTTGGCTGTAATTAAGACATTAGGGGGCAATCGTAAACAACAAAGTATAAATATTCTTGATCAGCGTAAAATTCTAAGACGATTTAGCCCTGTCTGTCCGTCCGTCTGTTGTAATCACGCTAGAGTCAAAACGAATAAAGATAGGAAGCTAAAATTTTGCAGATATCTGTCTTTTGTCTGCAGACAGGTCAAGTTCGAAGATGGGCTATATCGATCCACGACATCGTATATTTTATCCCTTGGAAGAGAATTATCTATATCGGTCTAGGATATCGTATAGCCCCCATATAGCGGTACCCCGATATTCGGCTTTTTCATGATTTCAGAAAAATTTGTTAATGGAATTGTCTTAAAATTCGCACAGCGGGTTCCTTCTGAGTACTTTGCCCCCTAGAAGGGAATCATATAAATAGTTCCACGTTCCCATATAGCGCCCATATAACAGTACCCCCAGATAGGTGGTATTTTCATGAATTTTGCGACATTATTCACTGGAGTTATTTCAAATTTCGGATATAAAATTCGTAACACTTATTACAGCCTATAACACAAATCACTTATGCAGGTCTTCGTATTGCCCCCATTTAGCGGTTTTCATTTGAGCGGTATTTTCCGACCATTTTTTTTTCAAATCTTCAAGTTTCTTCCAAATGGTGGAGGGTATAAAAAGTTCAGTCCAGCCGAACTTAGCTGTTTTTTTACTTGTTTAATCTAATCCTTCTCGAAATCATATCATGCAATCTACAGCAATGCCATTTGGTACAAGGGCTAAAAATGCTTCAACCAAAATTTGGTGGAAGCAGAGTCTGAGCTGGATATATCTCCCATATATAATTTGCTTCTGATTGCAAATTATGACTGCTCTACAACCATTTACGCATTCAAAAATTTTTCATAGTTCACATAAATTTCGAATACATCGGTTTATTTGTCACAGGTAGCTCTATTATTCTGCATAGTGGTGTAGGGTATCATATAGTCGTCATCTCCCAAGTTTTGACCTGTCCTTACTATTTATTCGGTTTAGTTATATTTTGTACTTAATTTTTTTTATTTTAGTATTTTGAGTTCTTATCGTCCTGAAATCCCAGTTGCTAAAACATCGATATTGGTCAATGTTTTTGTATTGCCGTTGTGTAAAGATACCCCATCATTTCTTTTATTTTGGGGTATGACTATATTTTCCAATTGATTTACCTGAAAATTTGTTAGCAATTGTTATTGTTATCGGGGGTGGAACATCTTCCGACAGAAGATGTTTAATATCTACACCTTCTGGTCTGAAGCAAAATTCGGATTGGTATGACACCAAACTAGATTTGGTCTGATTGATAACTGTGGATTTTCCTCTTTGACTGCAGGGCGAAACTTCTAACCGGAGCATACCTGTAGTAGATGAACCAATATTTCGTTGTCAATTTAGACCTCAACTATCTTCGGGAGGAAGAAGTTAAGTAGTTTTCCTCTTTGTTGCTTGTTGCTTGACTAATTTGGGGTGAGACCGTGGCTGTTTTCTGCTCTCCGATAATATGTTTCTTACTTTGAATTTTTTTCAGATTAATATTTTTCATAGAATTTCCTTCCGATTTAATAAAATGCTCAAATTTTCTTTAACACTACCTTTTATTGAAGAGCTCTGCTTAATTCCATTAATTTTGTATGTATTTTTTAATTTCTCTTCTTTTTCTACCTTAGGTCGTGGTAGTGGTTCCTTCACCGGTGGCCTGCTCATCGGGCAGTTTGGTACACGTGACGCCTTCCGTTATATGGGTCTGTTGGCGGTGGTCGGTGGCATTGCCTATGGTATTCTCCATCTGGTTTGGCTGCGTAAATTCGATCACAATATGGACGATACCGAAGACGAGGTGGAGGCGGCCGAAGCAGTTGAGGCAGGTGAAACGGAAAAATTGACCGAGCCACCGACCAAGGAGCAGGGTACCTCCATGTCATTGGAACGTTTGAGTCTAATGATAAAATACAATCAAATTGGCAGTTTATCTTCATTGCCGCGGGGCTCAAGGGTAAGTGGCCAGTGGCCATTGGAGGTGTGAGGGTGGTGGAGATGCTGGCGATGATGATGAGACAGAATGATTTGGCTGTTATGCAAAAATTGCCACATCCAGTGCTAATGGAATTCTTGTTTGTTCGACTGCAACTTTGAAATGAAAAGTTCTTCGTCATTCATTCATTCATTGTTTCATTAATTTTCATTTTTCCAATCTCATTCGATGGCCCAGGGGAAGCTTTTGTTTAAATTGGCCTCGCTCTCGTCACCCTCGCCAACAGAACCTCCGCCACCTCCACGCTCTTTCTCTGGGCGATTTTTGTTTTAAGTTATTTTTTATTGTTGTTGTTATTGTTCTTATTGCTCTTCTCGCTTCCAGGGTGACATCCACGACCATTTATCAATACGTCGCAGCAGTTATAATGTCGAGTCATTACGTGTGCCCAAGCACGGCATCGGCAGTGCCTCCAAGGTTGACATTCTACGCTCGGCACTGGAAATAAATCACAAATCCTCAAATAATTCGGTGCTGAGCAAGGCCGACAACCGAACATCGAATCAATCATTGGGTCGCAATCGTGCCGACAGTGCGCCCAAACTCAATCACACCACAATGAAGAATATCTCACAACCTGCCCTGGAGGCAGTCGTACTGGAGGTAAGCACGCTGCGATAACGCATAACTCTGTTCTGTTCTGTCTTCTGTTCGACTGGTTTGTTTTTTGTTGTGCGTTTTGTTTGATTTGTGTTGTGAGAGTTGTTTATTTAACACGGCAGACAGTCGGCTTAGATAAGCTGCACTATGGGCCATAGTGTTTATTTTTGTTGTAAGAAGTTTTTTTTTTTTTGTTTTTGTGTCAAGATGGAGTATTTGTCAGCAGCAGACAACCAGCAGTGAATCATCATTTGCAATAAGCGGAATTGTGTTTTCTCTCTCCGTTTGATTTATTGATGTATAAATAAAGTTGATGAACTGTTTTATTGCTCGTTATTGCGGTGAACGTTGACCTGCATTTATCCGGAATTATGAGGCTCTCTTATTGCTTTTTAATTGTAATAGCTTTGGGGAATTTATTAAAGGTGTCATGGTGTCCAGCTCGAAATAAATGCCATAAATTTCCAGCTAATAATTATTTAAGACAAATTAGCCATACCTATGGCTAAGGTAGGAAATAGGAAAGTGTTTTAAAAAGGTATCTTTCTATAAACGAATGGCGAAATAACGGACTGACTAACCTAGACTCAACGACAGACATAACGGTTGAAGCTAGAATCTTGAAATTTTTCGAGAGGGCCAGTCTTGCTGCGTAGGCGTGTGATATGGCTGGGCTTTTGGAAAGAGTACAAAAAGTAAAAAATGCACTAAAAACTGCTTATATTGTATTGGACAAAGGGAATGAACTGGAATTCTGAAAATTGGAATGAGAGTCATATATGGTGTGAAGGATAGGCGTACCAAGGGGTTTTTGGAAATATCAACTTTAAGGTTACGAAAAGTTCTAAAATTTTACCATTTGGTATTATGTGAATGGATAGAGCTAAAAACATTAAATTTGGTACGAGAGTCAAGTTTGAAAAGTATGTTGGATATATGGATTTGGAAATGTGTACAAGTGTGCGAACTGTACTAAATGGTATTAAATTTGGAACAATTTGGTTTAGGGTAAACGGATGAAATAGAAATTTTAAAATCTTGTATTGGGGTCCCTGATGATGGTAGGTTTGTGATAAATATATTTGGTTTTAGAAATGTGTAGAACAAATGCACGAAAAGTACTAAATAGTACTATATGTGGTACAATTTGGTATTGGGTGTACAGATAGTGCTTGAAATCAGAAATTTGGTATTAGGGCCGATGTTCATGTGTAGCATGGACATATGGAGGTGATTTCGGAAATGTGTACTATAATTGTACGAAGAAGTAAAAAAGCAGAAAGCTCTGCCGGGACGAACTTAGAATTCCCTCCACCATTAGAACGAATTTGAAAATTTTCAAAAAAAAAAAAAATAAATAAATAAATAAATAAATAAATAAATAAACGTTAAAAATATGTTAAAATCTTAAAAATACCAAATATAGGAAGTCGCCGTAATATTGGCGTTTATATGATGACATCGACCTGCATAAGCAACTTTTGTCGTAGGCCATTACAATATTCAAATACGTGAGTTTTTGGTGAATAATGTCGCAAAAATCATCAAAATACCGAATATAGGGGGTACCGGTATATGAAGGCCATACGAAGTCCTGGACATTTACAGAAAATTTCCTGTAATACCTATTAGGAATTCTAAAAACGAAATTTTAAACAATTTCGGTGAATAATGTCCCAAAAAAAAAAAAAATCTTAACCTGCCTGCTGAAAAAAATACACATGTGTGCAAAATTTTAGCCTAAAAAGCGTGATTACAAATGACAGACAGACATCGCTAAATCGTCTTAGAATTTTACGCTGATCCAGAATACATATGCTTTGTGGTGTCTACCACATTTTTCAACGGATTTGTCTAAAACAAGTAAAATAGTATCAGTCGGTTTTACTCCAACCTTGAGATATGATTATTAAATTGGTTGACCCTTTAAAGGGGATGTTCCGAAGCAGTTGGCCAATATTGACAATTCGTATTTGACCTAAGACTGATACAAATATTAAAACGTGTTATATTTGGACTATATCAACTACTTCTTATGAGATATGTGCAAATTTTTGGAAAAAGTGGAATTACGCTTGAGCTACCAGATATAGTAGATCGAAGTATTCCATATTCATACTTCATCTAATACAGATAAAAATATCGTTGTGTGCAAAATTTGAAGGAAATCAAACATTTAAATTGTATATTCACATCAGATTTCTGTTTAAGAGAATTATTTAGATATAGCAAGTTGTAAATAATTGCTGATTTGTTTCGCAAGTTATGACAGACAAAAGTATTGAAAATTGTGGCCCTTTATAGGTGAGGTACCAGAAGGGATTCACAGATATATATCATCTTCCTAATTTATTTGGGCGTATTGCTCTTCAAAATCTTGAACCCTATAGGGGTCTTTATAACAGATCTTGTGTTGATGGAAATACTGAGATGTGCCATGTCTAATGGAATCGGATGTTAATTTCGCGTTTTATGAGCTTCGTGGATATTCAAAATTTTGATCCTTTGTGGGCGAGGTTTCAGAAGTAGTGAACCGATATATCCCATCTTCACAGATGAACTTGTGTGAAATATTAAGAGAACCTGATGTTTATTTCGGATTTTATGATCGTTGTGTTATTTAAAAATTTAACTCTTTGTGGGGGAGGTACTCTTAGATCACATTTTATAAAAGTTATAATTATTTAAAATTTTGACCATTTGTGACGGGGGTACTTGATGGAGTGAACAGATATTGCCCATTTTCTCATAAACTAGCACTAATGCAAATATTGAGATTTGCAAAGTTGGAGTGAAATCGGATGATACTTTCTTCAAACTCAATTTAAGTTTCGCATGATCATTCCAAATATCCTGAAACAGATTTGGTCCAAAGAGACCTAAGATCTAAATCGTGATAGAATTCAAGCGTTATAGTGTGAGTTCTTTATATTTGGCAGGAAAACAACAAGTGGCTATCGTTAGAGCATTCCCGCATTTAAATGTGAATAAATCTTTTGTTTCTCGTACCATCGCTCGGAAGAAAACAGCAACATTAGCAGAAATGGTTCGAAAAGTAAAGAAACAAAACCCGCGTTGCAGTGGGTGAAAAATGGCTTGTCAGCTGAACATATCGCAATACTTCATTCGACAAAAATTGAAAAATGAGCTCGGGGTAAAGTCATTGAAATTCAAAAAAGTGTAAGAACTTACACCGCAACCGAAAGAAAATAGACTCAAAAGAGCTAAAGAGTTGCTTGCTTGGCCGAAAGTGGTGAACTGCCGAATTTGGGTTTCTCCGATGAGAAAACATTCGCTGTCCAGCAGTTTGTAAACAAACAAAATGATCGTGTTTACTTGCCAAAGAGGTCAGCTGAAAATGTGCACCTTCCTTTAGCCACCAGAACTCAAGCGCTGGACATAGTGATGTTGTGGGCCGCCATAACTCTTATTAATCGACCGTATCATCAGAGTAAATGCCGAATATTATCGCGAAAATATTCTGGAGGGTATATTAAAGCTTTGGGCACGCTAACATGCAAACACTTTGGCCGTAGACCTTGGATATTCCAAAACTCAGCACCATCGCACTCAGCACGCGCCACCAAGAATGGTTACAAAATGAAGTTCCTTGCTTCATTTCCAGTGCACAATGACTACCAAAATCTGGATACCGATCCGTTGGACTATTGTGTCTGGAGTATTTTGGAAAGCAAGGTTGTCACTTAAAAATACCAAAGTACCGCAGAGCAACATTCGGGTAGCGTGTGACGGTTTCATTGGCCGTTTGAAGGCCATAAATCGTGCAAAAGTTTACCAATTCGAACAAATCTAAATTTATTCTAAAATTTGATGCTATTTCCAAAAATTTTTGATTTCATCCAATAACATTAAAAAAAGTAAAAATCTTTGCGTTTTACTTTGTTGCAGTTTTTTATCTCACCCTGTACTTTGATCTACATTTTCTGCTCCCGCATAAATATTAAATAATCTTTATATCTGCATATTTTTGTTTTTTCTACGAATTTTGTATGTACCCATATATTTCAAAATTATAAAGATTCAAAATGCTATTCTTATTCAGAATCCGCAATCCAGAAACCATTTCATAAACAGCGGGAATTTAAATTTTAAAACCTCTTTGGAAAATATTTAAAAAAATACACGTTTCGTTTAATAAATTTCATTTGATAGCTCTTCAAGTTATGGTCGTTTAAAAAAATTGGATTTAAATTTCAATTAACCTTTAGGAAATGATTCTTAGAATATCTGAAAATAAAGATTTAATGTATCTCAAAATGTTAAGAATTTACTGTTAATCTAGCAAACACGATTTTCTATATTAAGTATATTTAACTCAATAATAATAATTTATTCAATATTATGGTGTAATTTTGTCATTCGATGATAATCATTATTGACCTTCCATAAAGGCCACTGTGACGTCTGCAAAAAAAAAGGTGAATGAATGCTTCTCCGACAAGGTTATTCCGTAGATTGCTACACACGCCTCATATCACAGCCAATGAATTGAAGTGGATTAATTTTCTTTTCGTCTAGCAGTCTAAGATATTTGTTTTAATTTTATTTTTGTTTCGTCTCAACGAAAGATTAAAGGTGAGCCCCCGAAAAACAAAATTGATGATTGAACCCTTAATGATGAGACTGCAGTCAAGCGTTATGTTTTTTGATTTAAAGTTGTCGCATACCTGACGATGGTGAAGGTGATGGCGGTGACGGCGATTTGTTATGGTGTCACTTTAACATCCCAACGCCATACATCTTCCAGGTAATCTAGGTGAAATAATATTAGCTGTGGAATTTTGTCCTATAATTATATTTTCTCTTTTCTGGGCTATTTGTTTGGAATTTTGTTGTTGAAATTGTTGCGTTAACCTTTTTTTCGGAGGGTTATTGGAATTTTCTTAGATTTTTTCCATGTCGGTATTTATCGGTGGAAGAGAGTAAAATATTTGGTATTTTTTTTTTGGGAGATGGCTGAGGTTGAATGAGTTTCACCTATT